TTTCTAAGCAAAAACAAGCAATTCAACCAGTGGGAAAGCAGATTTTTTGGTGCACAAAACTGAGAGTTTACTTTTGGTTCCACTCAGCAAAAAGAAACCGAAGGTGCTGAAACTGACTTAATTCACGATTCTGCTAAGTTTCAAATGAAATAAATATGTCTGCTATGGTAAAATAATTAGGCGTAACCACACTTAAACAACTTTTAAATTGTAATAATTCAAACATTTTTAAAAACAATTTTATATATAAGAAGAAAGTGAACTTATATATATCTAATATATATATATTATATATATATATATATATATATATTATATATAGTATATATACTATCAGGACAATTTATATAATTAATTAAAAATTTCGTAACACAAAAGTTTCAATTGTCTGTTTCGGCGAAACGTATAATGGAGTTAGCTTGGTTCGATGTTTAACCAGAAATTTCGCTTGAAAAAGCCAGGTTGGGACCTTGAATTGAGCTAATTTACCATTTTCCCTCCACTTTATAATTTTTATATTTTATATGTTTTTGATTTTTTTATTTGTTTTAAATTGTTTTAACTTTTCACTTATTACATCGATAGGTGTTTTACTGTATTTTTTGCCATTAACTTGTTTCCAACGATTAGTATTTTACCGTGTTTTATATTTTACATTTTATTTCGCGTGTAACCTTATTTTTTCACCATTCAATGTCCTTTTTTTTTTTTTTTTTTTTTTAACTGTGTTGAACTTTTTCTTGGAGCCACAGCTCCTGGTAACTTTTGGTGAGCTAACTACAATTTTTCTTCTCATTTCCTTAATTTTGCAGCATATTACGCAAAAAATGTTTAGACCAAATTGGTCTTTTTGTATTGTACTTATGCCTTGCTTATTATATATACACTGCTCAAAACAATTAAAGGATATTGCGGTTTTTGGTGGATCTTGTGGCTGAAAAACGTTTTAGCTTATTGATGCATGCTCGACAGACGTAGTAGGTTATATGAGAATAAATTACACATGTTTGGCAGAAAAAAATGTATTTTATTGCGCATTTGTGTACAAAAGAAAAAAGCACAATTTGTGCATATGAGAAAAAAAGAATAAGAAAAGGTGTTTTCTTCAAAGGAAATCATTTTCAATAGGGAGTATGGTTTCCACGGACGGCTAGAAATGTTGAACACCTTTGAGGCATGGAGTCAATGAGGCTATTAATAATGAGTTGGGGTATTCTGTCCCACTCTTCCAGAAGAGCTCTTTCCAGTTCTTGGAGAGTTTGTGGGGGTGGTTGGCGGCCAGCAACTCGTCTTCCTAGAGCATCCCAAACGTGCTATTAGATTCATCATGTCTGGAGAAACACGCTGGCCATTCCTTCGTACGATTCCTTCCTCGAAAAGGAAATCCTCTACCAGGTTAGCACGATGTGGCCTGCAGTTATCGTCCATTAAAATGAAGTCATCTCCGATTGCTGCAGCGTAAGGGACTACAATAGGTCTGAGGATCTCCTCCCTATATTGGCGACAGTCACAGTCCATCTCAAATGATTAGAGGTCTGTGCGCCCGTCAATGGATGTCACCATACACAACACTCCCCCACCGCCAAATATACACTTTCGGGAACGCAGATTTTCCTACCCACGTCCCCCATATGAAAATACCCTATTATCAGGATGAACAGAAAAACGGGACTTGTCAGAAAAAAACATTGCTCCATTCATTTTCTTCTCCGTTCACATGCTCTGTTGCCCACTCCTGCGGTCGCAATGAACCTGATGTTAGTCTAACACATACCATCGTCACGAGCATACAGACCTACACCATGGGTCGGTTTCAGACAGTCGAGGGAAACCGGGGTCAGTAGACAACGAAGGGTGTGATAAGAGGAGCAGTCAATTTCGAGTATCCGCGTTAAACTAAAATCACGATCTAGTTGGGCTTGTTGCCGTCTATTCCTCGCCCTGGTCTTCGGCCTGCACTTCCAGTTTCAAAAAAAAGTTACCATGTCCTGGAAATCACACTTTGTGGAAAAGCAATGGGAGTGTCTGTACCGGCGAGGGGGGCCCCCCTAACATACAAACAACTCTCAGCTCTTATCGGTTAAATGACTTGCTGAGACATCATACTCACGAAACAAGCGTAAAGAATGCAATCATCATGTCTCATTGTCTTTTGTTAGTTGAAGTCAAATTTCATTCGCTGCCGCTGAAGAGAGTTTTTGAGTCGAACTCAAAAGTAACATACTCCCAGTTTGAAAATCAGAAAAATTTGCATTTGCGATTCTTCTTCCATTCGGCAAAACAAATTTCGCTATCTTTATTTTATATAAAACTTACAATATCCTTTAATTGTTTTGAGCAGTGTATATATTTATAAAACTTTCGCTTTTGAATTATGAAAGATACATACATACGTATGTATGTACAGATGTCCCGAAAAAATCTTTTTTGAATCCATTTTAAATCCTTTTTTCCAACCCGTTTTGGGAAAAAAGAGTTCTTTATTCTGTCCTTACATACAGATGTCATGCAAAAACATCAATAAATTGCATTCGATAGCGGAATGCATATTTTTTGTTGAAATATATGATGACACGCGAAACTTTTTGCGATTACAATACTTCGTAGAAGGAATTAAAAGGAAGAGAGACTCTACTAAAGGGATAAAATATATAAGATTGACAGCTGTTATGCATGTGGCAATGAATTAAAAATAGGGCATGTAGATTTTACAGTAAATAAATATGTATGTTTGTAAGTTTAAAAGATTAACAGAAGAATTACAGAAGAATGATTAGAAAATAACATTCTTCTGTTTTAAATTTTTAATGTGATAAATTCAGAATTCTAGATATACCCAGAGATTATATTTGCTTTTTATACAAATTAAAATATGCAACATAACTTTCATAAAATTGCCAAATTTTTAGCACAACAAATTTATACAAAATCATCAACAGAGTCTTTACATTTTAAAGGACAGTTGTAACACAGATAAATGTCAAACATCTGCTTACATTATTACAACATGTTGCAAACATATAGCTCACATAAAATATGCCATTTGCCGTACATTTGATAGTATACATCCAGAATACATGAATTCATGAAAATTATTTATAATATATTAATTTATGAAATAGTTAATTTAATGACAACTGCAGAGATTAAACACAAGCTGATAAAATTAATATTCACATATCGGTATGCACTTACAGGGTGCATTTGGGAGAGGGAGCTCAATAGAGGAAATTGCTAGTTTCTTTTGAAACAAAAAGAAGGGAGGGGGGGAATGAAAATCAAATGGTTCCAAGCAGCATGTAGCTTTTTACTTGAATAATGTAGCTTGAAGCAATGTAGCTTTTTTACTTGAATAGTTCAGAAATATAGTTAGGTTTTGTGAATTTTTTACTTACTTTTATGAATTTTGTGGAATTAAGATGATGTAGAATTTCATAGATGGACAAATGACTAAACTTTCATTGTAAATTTTTAACTTAAAAAAAAAAAAAAAAAAAAAAAACGCTGCCACTCAGATTTTTATTGAAAGTTCAATTTCTGAAAAGAAATTTATTTTAAGAAGAAAGTTCTGCAACATGATCTTCAGATTTAAACCACAGTAAATGTAATAGTAGTTAAGGTATGAATGGGAGACAATCTTCAGGTATAAAATGAGGTTTACATAATTAGAAATGCCACAAATAAAAAAACTATCAACAGCAACCTTAAAATTATTTAAATGGTATCTGCTTTTAATTATCCATCAGATCCTTGGCAAGGTTTTAGATAATTACCTTAAAAAATTCACACTGTCCAACCTCTAAACTATATTCAGAAAAAAGATTTCACTTCAGTAGTAGACTTGGACATTTAACCTCAATATTACCTAAATGGCTTCATCAACAAACAAAACTTTTGGCTTTGGGATAATAAAAATCCACATGTAATAAAGGAAGTACATCTTTACTCAAAATGAGTTAGAATCTGAATCATTTTTAATGCTGATGGGATTACTGGACACCTCTTTTCTAGGAAAAAAAAAATTCAGTATCAGTTAAACATTCTATAAAAAATTACACCTCATTACTACAATTACGTTTATGTTATTCATTGATCTCAGGTTCCCAAAACAGAATCAAGGTACATAGAATCAATTATAGCGTTCAATTTTTACACCGTTACTTTTCTAAATCATTTATATGGGCTGTTGAAAGCTTTTTGTTCAGAAAATTGGTAGCCTGCTAAAATTCTTGCCTTCAAGTAATGCTTGCTTGTAATTCCAGCCTTCAAGCTAAATATTAATATTTCAGATTGGCATTAATTTCAAATAATTCTAATATATTTAATTAATCATTAAATAACTTATTTTAATTTAAATTAAAAATAAGCAAACTAATATACATTATAAAAATTTTCTAAGTTTTCAGAGAAAACTTTCCAAGTGGGACAAAAACTTGAGAATAAATAATGACAACCTAGTTTATTTCTATCATTTATTAAATTTTTCTTTGACACACAAATTAAAAGATCTATGTTTGTATAATTATAAATTTTTATGTATTTAGAAAATTTATTCATAAAATATCTGTGCATTAGAGAAAAATTACTAGAAATTATCTTCTTCATTGATTGTAGATATTCATCAGTTAATCAGGTTCTTTTCTTATTAATTTTCAAAGAGCTGTTCACAAATAAATGTATTCCCAAACAAAATGATTATTAGTGCAAAATTTCATAACTGGGTGTATTTATTTTTTAACGAGTATGAATAAAAGTTAACCCAATTTGTATCTTAAAATTGTGGAATAAGATTTATTGCCCCACTGTACATTAATTAACTCAATTTACAGATTTTCTGGTATATTTTATATAAGTTTTTAACAGAATGAAAAAAATATAAACTTGGACTTCAAAAAATTAAAATCTTGAAATCTTTACAATTTACACTAGATTCATACACTAGAATATTCACTAGATTTTAAGCTTCTTTCTTCTAATGCACCCTGTATGAGCTTAAATACAATGTAAAAATGAGTGACTCTGCAAATGATGCTTTTGTTTGAAACTCTTTCCACAGGTGTTACAAACAAATGGACGCTCTCCTGTATGGATTCGCAAGTGCTTCATCATATTAAATTTTTTATCGGTAGAATATGAACAATAATCACAAGTGTAACAAATTCTTTTATACTTTCCATCTAATATAATATGGTTTTTTATGTGATAACTGAGTCCTGTAAAAGAAAAATGGTTTATAAGTAGTATGCTAAGCACAAGTAGATACATAAATGTTTATTACTAATTATAAAGATACTACAGATAAAATAACAACTGACTGAAAAACTGATGAAATAAGTTAAATAAAAAAATAACATATAACAATGAAAGAAAATATTATATATTTATGAATATTTTTGTTGGGAAAATGAAAATAAATAAATATGAAACAATTTTAAATATTTTTATAACAATATAACAGCTGTTTACTTAAAAAAATTAAATAACAAAAGTTGTATGCTATGTTGTAAAGTTCTATGCAGTTTAATTTTCATTTATCATATAATTTAGCACTTACAATGAAGACTAAGATATTTTTAAGTTCAATTCAAGACACAAAACTTAAGCCATAAGTAGATGATCAGAATCATTGACATTTTTGTATACAATACCATATATTTAATGGGAAATTTATTTCAGGTGTAATAATGCTAATAATGAAAGTAAAAAATGTATTGAATGAAATAAATTCTACATTTTAATAATAATTGTTAATAAACTAAACCGAACAAAGGATTTAAAAGCTACTTTTGGTTAAATACAGGTTCTTTGTTGATTTCAATCCTAAACATACACACAGTCTGAAAATCTGTACACAGGAAAAACATATTAAAGATAAAACAGACTGCATAGTAAAACTTTAATGTTTAAGAAGATGAATGCTAAAAGCACAATTTTTTTGTAAATTACTACTCTTACAAAATCAATAATTTTCAATCCTCTTAAAATGCAATGATTATTTATCATATAACAACAATAAAATATATGCAGGTGTTACATAATACTATGTACTTTATATTGTGTATTATATTACAAAAATAAACTTTAATTTAAAAAAAAAACTCAAAAACAGGCTCTGATTCAAAAAAGATTTTACTTACTTAGGACTTTGATTTGCTTATACAGTTATAAAACTGTGACATAAAATTATAACTCAGAAAAATATGCAGTATAAAAAGCAGTTATATTTGCTTTATACTACACATTTAAAATCATTATCACTTAATATTTGTGAATGAATATTAAAAAATTTGCAAATATATTGCAAAATATATTAATTTGAACTTAATATATATAAATTTAATTAACATTAGAAAGCAAATTTGATTATACAAATAATCAAATTTTTTTTAATTATACAAATAACAAAAAACCCTCACATAAATGAGGGTTGAAGGGAATGTATTTTCACAATAAAATCTGCAATAGAGATAATATGTGTATTTTCTCAGACTTAAGCATTAACTACATCAAAAAATAAGGCTTCGTAATTGATAATAAAATTATATATAATGAATCAGTTTGTCACCCTCATAAAAAAGAGGTTATAAAGTTCTAAAATAATTGATAAATGTGTGACTCTATGCACATTAGACTTTAGAATTTAACACACATACTTCATTATAATAATCATAAATATCTCCTTGTTTTTACAAACCTTGAATTTATTAAGTATCCAGTTGTCTAAAAACTAATAATTTTTATGATGCTATTGCCTTTGATTTTATGAATACTTTTTTGTCAGAAATTTGCATTACCTTTACAATCATCCTGTAGTGGATACAATAGTAGACACGCATTGTCCATCAATGCCTACCTATTGACAAACCTAATCACAACTTTATGGATCCAAATGCCTGCTGCCATCTACCAAGATATTCTTTGAGGATCTGTTTTTCATGATGTGAAGTCACCATTGTCAGCATTACTGTCTGTTTCTCTGTACTATAAGAACGGTCTATCTAAGCTAGTTTCCATAGCCACATGTATATACATGCTTAGCATCCATCTTTACTAATCTAAAAACACTTCTCAACAATAAGGATAAGTTAAACATAACATACTCTTGATTTAACGTTGTGGTCTCCATGTGCATATCCTGCTACTCAAATAATTTTGCAGTTCATAAAATTGAGAATCCATTGTACAGTTACAGATGACAGATGAAAAACTGAACTAATATATTTTTAATAAGAACTACAAAATTAAGCATACCATTTATTATAAAATATTTAATTGGTGAACTTTATTATTTAGGCAGCTTATCTTCATTTCACTTTGCATTTATAAAACTGTGATATAAAATGATAACTCAGAAAAATATGCAAAATAAAGAAGCAGTTATATTTGCTTTTTACTGCATATTTAAAATCATCATCACTTATTATTTATGAATGATTATTCAAAAATGAATAATAAGACTGTTATAAATAAAAACTGCTGATAGCTTAGGTAACAAAGAACAAATTCTTTTCCTCCAAATGTGTTAAAAGTGAACATTTTATGCATCTATTTCATCATAAAAAAAATATGTTTTACGGTTAATCTTAAAGAAAAAATATTATAATATTAATTTATTAAAAACTAGGAAAAAAGTATACATAGAATTATATTGTAAAGCAACTCGTTAGAAGAAATGATACAGTTATAATTAAAAATTTAACTTATTAATTGCATTAACATAATTTTACAAAATAAATTTAATTTGCAGAACATTTTTAAAGAAAGATAAAATACTTACTTATTCTGCCAATACATATGAGAAAACAGTTGTTTCTTAAGCAAAAAACTGCAAGCATATGGAATGATAAAAATTTCTAATTATTTTATTTTTGAATCGCATCCAGAATTTGCATTGCATATACATTAAAAAATTGCAGTACATAAGCTGAAAGTTAGACACTTTCAAAGAAAAACTACAATACACGCGTATAAAAATTGTGAAACATCAGCTGAAAATAATACAATTTAGAAGAAAAGTATTTTCAATCTTTTAAGACGGACAAAAAACATGCTAGTGGCAAACCAATTTTAACATCATATCCTTGTAATTGATATCTTCTGTAACTGAAGTATATAAGTAAATATAAGATATATTCATAGATATATTTGAAACTTCTTATAAGAAAGATAACACGGCACAGAAAATCAATGAAAATTTGATAGCAAAGGCCACATCAGTGCAAAACTCAATTTTTTTAGTACACTAATTTAAGCATAGTGAAGCTACATTAAATTAGGAATGGCAATCAAATAAAAATGCTCTAGCAGAGAATGTTGCCGGACACACATTGAAAAAACATCAAAATTTGGGCATGTTTTCTTTCTTCTCCTCAATGTTGCTTTTCTTCTGTATACTTCAAGAATCAATAGACCACTTAAGTCAATGACACCATACCACAAGGCTCTGAACATACCTCGAGGAATAGAACAGGATAATAGTGGCTAAATGAAGGCATGAAATGTATTCAGTTAACATGTATTAGGTTAACATAATATAATCATTCCTCATGGTTTGTTAACATCTACCATGCTTTGATTCAGGTAAAAGTATATTCTTTCAACTTGACAATATGTTACCACACATGACTATAATCACAAAGTTTTAATGCAAAAGCACTTTTTATTATTTTAGGCCTCATATTTTGAATTTGAGTCCCATGCATTAGGCTCATACCAGAGAGTATCAGAGAAATGAAGGCCATTATTTAGGAAGTACAGTGAAACTACACTGTGAAATCTATATCTAGTCAAATTGCTGCAAGTCAGAATGAAAGAAAAATTTATATTGCTAGATAAGTTTTTATTGCACATAAGTATCTACATAAAGGCATATCTCTCAAAAATTATTTCAGATGTAAACAATTTTAGGAAAAATATTTTGCCATTAAAAACATTGATATCACAGGCTTTCCTAATCTGGAGGCCATTATATCATGTTATGCTTGTCTACGCAACCTAGCAAGTGCAGAACCTTCTACTGCTTACCATCGCAGCAGAAGGTTCTGCACTTGCTAGGTTGTGTAGACAAGCATAATATAGTTATTGCAATACAACAAAGCATATAAAGGCTATCTGCCTCAGAGAAGAGATATCTTTGAGGCCGCTCACCTGAGAATCAAACCTAAGTTGAAATCCCAATAGCAGATATGATAACATGGCAGCAGATAAGAGACTTTTAATTTAATATTCAAATAGTTTAGCAAGCAGCTGGTTTTTAAAGTTGTTGTCTTTTAATGCTCTGGAAAACTTTGACTTTCAAACTACAGTACAAATTCCTTAATCAGGACTCGTCGGGACTTTGGCGATTCCAGATTAGGGTTTTTTCTGGATTATAGATCATCAATTTAAATTGGGAAATGGGAATCATATAAAAGCACTTTTCTCTTTAATTATCAACTAAAATATAGAAACTAAATCAATTTTTTATCATTTTTAAAAAACGTATAAACATTATTTATGACACAGCTTTTGTAATTTTCAATAAACTAAAAGTTTTATTGGGGAAAAAAAAGACTGATTTCAAAATAAAATATATATTTCCAAGGTGATACATAAAGTAAAAAGATAATAAATTGACAAAGACAATGCAACAAGAACACTGATAATAATTGCTGGGAAGAAACCATAAGGATCTTTCATTTAAAATTACCCAATACAGAAAAAAGAGCTAAAAATTTAATAGTGATCAGAGTAGTGCTGGAGCCAAACTGGTGACATGTGCAACCTGACAGTGTTGGCATATATACTGCTGATAACAGCTAAGGGTTATTTTTCTCATACTTAATAATAGACATGTCAAAAAATAGACTTGGCATATACAGTCAAAAGTCTTTTAATCCGGATGATCTATAATCCGAACCTCAAAGCTACAAACTTTCTGCGCATGTGTAACGCATGCAATAATACCTTACGCATACGCATGCGCATAGGTCTACGCATCCACATAATATGTTACGCATGCATTTAAGTATAACGGACGGTATTAAAGGTAAGCTAAATTATCTAATTATCATTTCAGTTAATGTTGCAGATTGCATTGTTCCTTAATCTTCTAATTGGATCCGGCTCATTATTTTTTGCAGATTGTTAGAGCAATTTTATAAAAGTAAGCTTGAACTTTCGATTATGTCAAAAAGAATTTCCGATTCT